ATGCACCTTCATTTTAAGAAAATGTGAACAGATTACCCACAGAGCTTGAATCTCCCCAAGGGCTGAACCCATCTAGGACTTGCTTCTCCTCTTGCGAGCTGAAGCAAGTCTGCCTCCCAAAACCATCGCTGCTGCCCGCCATTGCCTGAGCCTCCTCCAACAAATCCTCTAACAATCCGCTTCCACCACTGGACTCGCCCAAATTCTGATACTCGTTAGTGCTGTTAATGTCACCACCATTGCCATCGTTTACTCTATAACTGAATGTAATCTCTGGATTACTGTCTTGAAACAAAAATTGGCTTGAAGGGAGCTCCGTTCTCAATGGATAAACATAGTCGGTGGTATTGCCAGGGTTAAAATTAAAGCTATTAAAGCTATTGTTGTTGCTATTCTCGCAGTCGAGTTGACGGTGAAGCCGCTTGAATCGAGGAGTCGTCTGGAGGAAAGGCGGGGTTCTGGGTGAGAAGAAGCTGGAATTAGTGGTGGAGGTGGAAGGGTTGGATGCGGAGGCGGAGGAATCGAAGAGAGGGAGAGTTGGGTAGACAGGGGTGTGCGGGGAGGGGAGCGGAGAGGCGGTCGGCGGAGTTGGGCTGAGAAGCATAGGGGTGGTTGTGTGGTGCGGGCTGTTGAGAGTGGTCGGAGTTGTGCAGTGTGCGCTTTGGAGAGACGGCGGCGTTGGGGTGGTGGGAACGTGAATGGTCGGCGTTGTTTGGAAGGAGAAAGCGGTGGGTGTAGTCGGGGCGGAGGAGATGGGTGTGGCGGGCTCCGAATGTGTTTGGTAATGGGTAAAATGTTGGTTCTGCGGCGGCGACGACAACTGGTGGTGGTTGAGAGGTTGGATGTCCGGAGGATAAAGGGGGAGGCCTTGGCGCTGCCGCCGCTTCACTCTGGTGTTCCAGAAATTTTTTATTTCGTTACCAGTTCTCCCCGGAAGCTGTATTAATTTTTTTTCAAAAAATAATAAAACAGAGCAATTAAAAATTTTGAATTCAAGCTTTTAAATTCAAAAAATGTTTTCTCCAATTTTTTAAAAAATCAATTTAAAAAACAATCATACCGTTTTCATGGCAGGAAAAATCTGCTTGAGATGAGATTTTAAGCAAAAATACTAAAAATAATAATTTTCCAGAATTTTAATTTAGTTAAATGTAGAAAAACAACAACGAAAAAATTCAGAAGAAACTAATAAGATCAATATGAAAATCATTTGATTAAATTAAGAAAATTTGGATTCAGAATAAAATGCATAATTTTAAAATCGTTAAATTCCAAAGAAAATGCAGAGAAAATGGAAACAGAGATGCAAGGGAGAATCAGAGTAAGAAAATTTACGTAGAACGATGAGTTTTGAAGGATGACAATGGCGAACCTGAGTGGCCATGCGTGCCCACTTGTTGCCAAGCTTGGCGTGGAGCTCGACGATGATCCTTTCCTCCTCCGGTGAGAAAGCGCCTTTCTTAAGGTTGGGACGCAAATGGTTAGCCCACCGGTGTTCTTCTGCACGGCGTTCCAGTTCCCTTCCCCCATGCTTCCTCACGTAATCCGCCAACATCGCATCCTCCGCCGCCGTCCATGGCCCCTTCTTCAACTGGGTCCCTCCTCCAACTCCGCCATCCAAACCATTAG